GGGGGGGGGGGGGGCACGGAACCGTCGGCTGCATCGCTGATCAACTAGTTTTATCGCAAATACGTCTTTCCGAATTTAAAAGGGTGATATAGGAAGAGCCCAAACACTATCAAGCTTTGCTATAGGATTAATTACGCACGAGTGGAATATGATGTTGAGCATGATTTATGCAGCAATAATAGCATGTTGTCACGTATTTGCACGTTAAAAATGATAAATGCGACATTTAAATAATTGAAAGACAGTTAAAAAAAGAAAACAAGGAGACAAGTTTGTTTCAGGAAATCATAAATGCTTGAAAAAATAAGCAATTAAATTCAAGTAAGGGGAAGGGAAAGGGTGCATATGTATTAATAGAATAAAGCATGCTTAAGACTAATTCACAAAAACAAGTTCGTTATGGTAAGAGCCTAAAATATCCCCAGCAGAGTCGCCATACTATCACCCCCTTCTTCTGTCTTGTGGCGGGGTCTGAGTTTCGATATTCATAGGGAACAACTCATTTCCTTTTGGGAATTGGGTACGAAATTTGAAGAGTCTCCACCTAACGAATTTAAGGTGCATTAGGGCACCTAAAGCAAGTAATCATAAAACCGATTTGCGTTACCAGAGGTTGGGTAATGGCTCAAAATAACCTTGATGAGAAGGTGTTAGGAACCCCTTGCGGTCCACAACAGTGGGTCCCGTCCAAACTCAAATTATGTGAATTAGTCTTATAAATAGATAAAGCAAATTAGACAAATTGATATTATATTTAAAACAAGGAGTAAATAGGGGTCCTATATTTTTTAGCCTATAGGATCACTTCTGTACAATGCTTGGTAATTGTCCCCAAGTTGGGGTGCTAGACATAACATTAGCGCACATGTCATCATATCCTTTACTATTCAATTACCCTCCCCTTAGTGGTTACATATGCGATTCTAATCAAACGTACTCTATGCGTGCATTACCCGTCCCTTCCTTACGGCCTTGGAGGTGTTTAGGACCTCTAATTAAGGCAATTCTAGACTCTCCTAAGGTGTTTAAAAGGATAAAATCTAAGCGACAAGCAAAGACAAATAGGACATTCACATAAAGAGGCAATTAAAGGCTCACTTTTACCTCCTCACATGAGCAGACAATATCACGGCTCAAACAACAAGATTTCAGATATTTCAAAGGGTCCTAGAGCAGGATATCTAGGTGAGCAAATAGAATATATGCATCACTGTGTTAAATCGAAGCAATAGATACCTAATCAGTTTGCCTACTGATTTTAGGGCTTGCTGAATCTGGACAATTCACAAATAATAAAAGCAGAGTTTTACAATTTACAAGATTTTAGTCGCCCTACAGGCTTGCCTAGGCGTGTATCAGTGATGTCCTATAAACATGGTATCTAGTCATTAATCAGAAGTACAATAAACCAGTAAACAATTTTAAGCAGGCAGTTTGGTTCATTAGATCCTATAGGCATGTTGTCTAGGTGCAAAGACTGATTTTAGACTTATAGACAATGGTAGCTAACTACAGAAATTGGTTCTAAAATCTTATAGGCACGACATCCAAATGCAGCAATTAGTTTTAAAACCTTATTTGCATGCAGAAAACTAATTTAAACCTTGTTGGCATGGAAGGACTTATTTTAAATTTATAGGCATGGTGCCTAGAATGCAAGATTGATTTTAAACCCTATAGGCATGGTTTTTAAGTGCTAATATGTTGAAATCCTATTAGCATGAATTCTAAGTGCAGAAATTGATTTACAACCAACAACCAAATTCATAGCATTCATTAGAACATAGACTACTGATTTAGAGTCCTAACAGGAAAGTCATACTTGATGCTAAAGTAGTAATAGACAGTAAAGCACAAAGACTGAATGTAGGAATAGTCATGCTGAGGACAGGGGTCTACTACATAGAATTATTCATGCCAATTGAAGTTAATTAAATAACATGAGAGTCTGAGACACAAAATGAGCATGCTGGTTGGAGGAATTAAACATGAAAGATGGAAGTACTTAAACTAAAGTAAACATGCTGACTTAAGACAATAAACAAGAAGAGTGAAACTTTAGACATGCTGATAAGGCAATAAACAGAGTTAACTAGGCAGTAGTTACACTAGTACATAAAAGACATAGCCTTAGCAGAAACGAAGCAACAAGGAGCACATAGATTTT